GCGACGAAAACCCAACCCCGATGGCAAACACCGGGGGGGGGGCAGGGGGGGGCGTTGAAACAACCCTATTGATGAGTAGTTGGTATTTTCGCACCCACTAGGTGTATTCCGCACGCGGAGCAGTTTACTACGTCACAGACGGGGTAGGAAAGCCCCCCCCCCCCCCCCTCCACCAGTTCCTCGCCCTACAAGGCTTCAATCAGCACGGCACAGGACCTCGCGCGTTGCTACGTCGCTGGGCTATTCTGGATCCTATCGCTTAGTAGCCGAAACGATATATGTTAGGCGCGGTAGCACGGCCGGTGCAGGAAACAGCGCAATTGCCGGTCAAGGAAAAAAAGTGCGCTCTTGAAGGCCAAACAACAATAGCGGCGGAGACACGGGGCAAACCACTAATGGCACGAACCTGCTTCTCAAAAGCGGACGCTGACCCCACCCCTTGCACCACAATCACACAAAAACACTATCATCGACGCTGACCTCACCCCTTCTCCTACAAATCACACAACAACACTATCTCCTACAAATCGCACAACAACACGATCACCTGTCTCCCTGCCGCCCAAGGAAGCAGCACGTCTCCCTGTTGCCTAAGCACATTCTAAAGCTGGAACATCAAGCCCGAATGGCTCGTCGATCCACCGGCTTCACCGACTTCCGAGGAATCCCAGGAGAATGATTTAATGGCTGAGTGCCATGCCGTGCTGGCTGTGTTGAAAAGACATGGAGGGCATACGAAAAAAGAACGACGGCGATGGACTCCGCCTTTTCTTCCTCATCTTCGTCTTCGTCGTCCTTCCCGCTATGCACCAACCACGGAGTTGACGACATGGCCGTCGTCGACGCCTGACCCTTGCCCCTCTTCCGACAACATCTCAACCTGGCGACGGGGCACGGCCTTGCAGGCCCTCTTGGCGCCACCCCAGTCGTGGCCTTCGCTCCTTCCATATACGGTGGCGCGGTGCCTGCTCGACGCCGTGCCCGATGAGGAATGGGACGGAGGCCCCCTATGGCCCCTCGGGATGCGGACCAAGCCTTTGCCGGCCCTCGGTGCGCCATGCTCGTCGCGGTGAGTTGGCTGCTCGCCGCCAACTCCCCACATTGCCCGTCGTACGCACCCCATTACACCGGCTACCTTGCACTTTCGGTTGAAGTTGATCGATAGCCCGTCCACAAGGTCACCTTTATGTGTTGTGCATACACTGCTCTTCCCGTCCGACCGGTACCTCCAACTTGCGTGACTCGTGCACTCTTTAGTCCGACCATGGCTGGCGAAACCCCTTTCTGTTTCCCTATGCCAACAGGTGCATCCTGGCTTCACTCAACAATGCGCGAAAAACTAGCAAACAACACCGGCGGAAACAGGGGGGAAAACTATCGCCATCGACATCAGATCACCTCCCTATTTCAATCAAACACCAAGATACGACCACCTCGCTAGTCTTCCCTACTACTAGGCATCAAGATACAATAGTTGGTCGATTCACCGACTTTCGAAGAACAGGTCATCGCCGAACACGACGTCGGGCTGCTGCACATGCATGGAGCAGAGGAATGAGGAGCACGACGGACGCATGGACACACACGGCTGATGCAGTCACTCCACTTATTTGAGCAATAGGTCAGATGGGGGAAAGGGGGCATATAACGGAGGGAAAAACACCAATTGCAGAGATATTGTCATCTGGGATTGGGTGACTCCCCCCCAACGCTTCCTTGGCCAGGCCCCCAAACCATCCTGCCGACCTTCAACACGTCACGATGGAGCTATCGACATGGCCATCGTCATCGTCCGACTCATTCCTCTGTTTACCGGAAGAAGTCCTAATCGCGCGGTAGCGTAACTCCTTGCGGACCCTTTTGACTCCACCCTCGCCGCGGATTCTCCCTCCACTCCCGGTGGCGCAGCGGCTTGCTGAGGCCGTGCGCGATGAGGAAGAGCTCGCTGATGCCCTCCGACCACGTGGAACGCGGACTAAGCCTTCGCCAGCCTTATCCGCACCGTGCATGTCGTCGTGACTCGGTTGCTCGCCGTCCACCCCCCACTTTACCCGTCGTCTGCACCTCTTTACAGCGGCTCCCGAGCGCTGTTGATTGAAGTTGATCGGCAGCCCGTCCGCAAGGTCACCTTTGTGATTGGAGCATACGCTAGTCTTCCCGTCCGCCCAATAACTCCAACTCGGGGAGTTCGTGCACCCGTCAGCATGGGTGCAGCGTTTCTTCATCACGTCGAACATGGACTCCTCGGCATGCTGCCTGCAGTACACGCCCGTGCCCTTGAAATTGAAGCACGGACGCTTTGTGCACCCTTCGGCGTGGGTGCAGCGTTTGTTTATGACGTCTATCATAGATTCCTCAGCATGTTCCCTACAGTACATCGGCGTCTTGCGCCCCTCGTAGTTGAAGGATGGTCGTGTCGTGCATCTCAAGGCCCAGCATTGGTTCCTCAATTGTGTCCGCCGACCACGTGTTGCCCCACGAAACAACGGGATGGCTTGGAAGACGAACGCAAGCACAACGATACCTCTGAATTCCAAGCAAAAGATGAACGTTTCTGTCGAGTTCGAGGAGGGTCGCAGAGTCCAAACAATCAAGTCAACCGATCATTATAGTTGGAAGAACACGCGGCACGGCGGCAACTCCTTTAGACGACAATCAAGCACGCGAGATGAAGCAGTAGGGCATGAGAGAACATTATGGTTGGGGGTTTGGTCTCCCGTAACGACATTCAACAACATATAAGCTGACGTGCTCCGCTGGGAGGTCAGTGCCAAAACTTATTGGGCTCCCTACAGGGGCCCACCACAAAGGTCCTACCTGCATGGAAGTCACCACTCGGAACATATCAGAGAACGATTTTTACATTGTGTCCGTGCGTGAAATGGACTCCAATAAGACTGTTTCGACTCGAGAGAGGACGGAAAGATATTGTGAACTCAACAAGTCACAAGAAAAGATTCTGACTATCTCTTCACCTCTGCGTACCACCGGAGCGACGAGAAATATTGATTATGAGCGTGCGTCTACATGCATGCTTGGTGCAGAATCATATGCTGTAGACTAGTGCTATCATCTTGGAGAACGAAGGGAAAATCAACGATTCTCTGAAACTTCGTCGTCGAAACGCAAACATGCGACACCAACACGAAGAAAGTTGTTCGTGTTTACCTTGATCCTTGGCCGAGGGCGAAAAAGTAACGCAAAAACCACACCGTAGCAAGTACCGCTGCCCTCGCTCACGTAGTAGTTAGTTAGGTGGTCCTCATTCCCTTGCATGCACACACCGCAGGTAAATACCGGACGCGCGAGCGTGTTTCTTCTGCTCGAACCTCACCGGAGAGCGTGGACACGAGAGACTAGTGACACGACTTTCGCAGCAGTCCGACGACGCGGTGGGTAGGTCGCAGGAGCAGGCCGCAGGAGGAGGGCAGACGCGCCGTGGCAAAGACAAAAAGTCTTGCCACAGTTTTGAAGGGTGGCGGAGAAAGCGGTGATGACTTCGTCCGTGTATCATACCGTGGTGTGTATGACCGAATGGGCAAGTGTAGCAAAAATAGGGGCTCCGCACAACGAATGAATATGATAGATACAATCAACGGACCCCCCCCAGTGGTCTCGAGACGAAACACTGAACGGCTCGGCACTTGGCGTCTTGGGGGTTGTGCGAGATATGGCCTCGAGGACGGGCGGGGGGTGCATGCATTCGTATGTTTTCCTTCTTCGGTTCCCAAACATTAAGTGTCATGCTGTGGTAACGGCTGAAATCCTACCTGCCGTACGTCGTCGATGAGGCGTGATTGACACGTTTTTTCGGTGAAGTGGATAGTCGATGGACGTTGTGGGATTGGGCCATCACGCATCCAGCGTTTTTCTTTGAGGTTGAAGAATAGAACCTATTGCACACATTTGTCATGGGCTTGCGGGAGACAACAGTTTGGGAGAATCCTACTCTATTCGAGTCGGTGTTTGTTTGTGGACCACGGATGATGATGCCGGTCCTTTGATGTTCGGTGATTGCTTGCCACCGAAGGCGGTGTCCTCACCTTCGTAGGAGTGGGCGCTGATTGACCGATCGGGTCCCTCTGTCAGTACAAGTATTTTTTGCCGCCTCGAAGTCGATCATACGGGTATTAGACTATGTGCACACATCGAACGATGAAAACCTCGAAAATGGGACACATGTGACGCATCCTGCAGGCAAATCCACGAGAGTACTATGTAAACAACATATTCGCCTGATTGAGAGTGTAGCATCTGATTGAGAGCGAGATTGCGCGATACGCTGTAGCCGGACTACCACTGAGAGGTGGAGCTTGCTGTGTAGCTTGAATTGAAGGGCTAGCCCGTAGCTTCAAGCCGCTACCCTGGTCATCCTGTGGGAGTCTCTCGTTGTGGAGCTACAGCGGGGAGCAGAAGCTACAGCAGAGCCCACCGCCCGACGCGATACCGCCCTGAAACAGTTTGAGCAGAAATAGCCAATCTGGGCAAATCTAGCAACTTGTCTAGCTCCTCGCTGCAGCATCCGATGACGATGACACGCATATGCTCGCGAAGCTGCTGATGAGACCTTCAATTTGCACCGCTTCTTGGAATAGCCCGTCCCCTACTTGCCAAGAAATGGCAAGAGGCGTCTGGACCCGAAATTTCAATTTTTTTGGCTCTCGCTCTCAATCAGATACTTCGCTCTCAATCAGGCGAATATGTTGTTTGTAGTCTACCATCAAATTTCCCGCATATAGAAGGTGAGCAAGTACATGAAGAGCTACCACGCGCCAGTCACGGCATCACGTCATCTGACGGGGATGCGAAAGTGAAGAGGGCTTGAAGATATAGGAGATTATGTTGTGCTCATAGGATCCCTTGGGATGCTTCTTCTTAACGTTTCATTACTGGAGTGATTTGCAGAGTCATTCTACCTCTCTCGCTGTGACGCGCAATCAATATTTGGGGGTGTTCGTTCGGTGTCGTCGTGGTTGACAAGTCTCACTCACATCACAAACAAACGGACCATGAACTGAAGACCAAGAATCTTTCTCTTCATCACACTGCCCACCGCACAGCATCCTTATGCGACCTCATGAAATCTACCCGCCTCATCGGACGGCTGTGTCGCGGCTCCTGTCGTGCTCAGGCTCTCCGGTGAGATTTCGAGCAGATTTCGGCTCACACCCGGTGGTTACACTCAACCCTTAGGACCCCCTGTCAGGAGCAGTAATGATATTGGAACGAATTGTTTCACTCTGTGGTAGACTAGACTGGTATGTATTCTAGACACAACAGCAGCAGCAAAAGCAGCAGCAGCATTACAGAACCGGCCCGCACTTAAGAATATGGACGTTCCGAAGAATTTGAGCCTCAAAAAATCCAATTTTTAAGAATTTGCCCGTAAGAACACGTGCTCAGATCGGACCTGCTGTTAAGAATAAGAGCCTCCAGTGAGGTGTACGACTGGTGCTACAGGTAAGAACATACTACATGACGCGGCGGTGGCGAGAGAAGAAGATACTCAGGTGGAGGAGGAGGGGGGGGGGAAGGCGTTCCCAGGTTTGGTAGTTGGTACCTACCTAGACTTTCCCTTTTATGATTTTTTTTTTAGGTGGGGGTCTGCTGTACATACACTTAGACTAGTGCCAGCGAGTTTTTTTAATTTACCACGCAACGTGGTGCAGCGTGCCACGAGTTGCCTGCCGTGCAGGGGGATCATGTCCCTGTCCAACCCCCTATCCCATGGGTTGTTGAAGGACCTTGGCAAACTCTCGGAGTTGAAACAACGAGGACTGATTCTTGACCGTCACTTCGAGACGATAAAGGCACATGTGAAGGCGGGCAACTCCGTTGCGAAGGAGCGATGGGACGCAATCGAGAACGCATGGGGGCTGAAGCAGACGGGTGTCTTCAACGAAGAAGAGTGGATCACGCAGATTGATGGAGAGGCCCAGGGTATTACCAGCAGCACCCGTCCGTCGTTTTTAACGCCACAAGATGCGGGCGGCGCGCGAGGTGCACCGTCTTCGCACCCACCGCCTGCTACTGCTGCGGCTGCCGGGACGAGAAAGGTCGCAGATCGGTGGAAGCAAGCCAGGGATCGAGCNACCAGCAGCACCCGTCCGTCGTTTTTAACGCCACAAGATGCGGGCGGCGCGCGAGGTGCACCGTCTTCGCACCCACCGCCTGCTACTGCTGCGGCTGCCGGGAAGAGAAAGGTCGCAGATCGGGGGAAGCAAGCCAGGGATCGAGCTGCCCAAGGTGTTCTAGGTGGCAACATCATCAACGCGTTCGCTCGTGGCAGCGGAAAACCGGTGAGTTCAGTCATCTGACGAACTCTGTTGCTGTGATGATGTACATATATACAGCAGTCGTACGGCGACCCAGCAGCTGTATGTAGTGTAAATACAGCAGGAGTGCTACTCCTGCATCTGTAAAACGCGGTGGTGATGAAATGAAAAAGACGAGAGAAAAACTACTCTGTCACAGGTTGGTGTAAACGACTGACTTTCAGCATGGCGTACATGTATGTGTACAACTTTTTCAAACATTCTCCGTTTGCCTCAGGTTCTTGAGGAAGGCAAAGACGGTACAGTAGACACAATGGCGAAAAAGAACGCGTACACGAGCGCCGTCCCAACCGTATTTTGTAAAGTTTTTGTTGCTGCACCGTGATACAAACACACGAGAGACGGTCATGTAATCATCCCTTGCCCCATCTGCATAGATAAATATATTTTGCCATCGACATCCACGCAATTTCAGGTCCACAGCTCGTTGAATCACCTGCACCTCAATTCCGCCCTTCTCNCACCTCCGGCCCCGGAGCGGCGCATACCGTGCCCTCACTGTCCCATGACCTTCGTGAACGAGCAAGGACTTGGGATCCACGTGAAAACACAGCACAGCAATGCAAACATGTCCAACGGCGTGCGGCTGCAGCGGATGCTAGGGAAGACTCCCAACGGGTATGTTCAGCCGTAGGGAGAAGCCGGGCCTGGACGTTGTTGGCACGTGAACGTCGATGGTGCGACGGGGGCGGCTTCGTTCGTCCTCGAACGGAAGCGCTTCCGCGATCTCGACTTGGAAAGCGACGGCTTTACGGACCGCAAAGTCAAGGAGACTCGTGGAGCTGTGAAGCGCAAGCGATACGATT